ACCACTTAGGCAGGTTGTAACTTTTTTGTTTGTTTGGTACCAGGGATTGAACCCAGGGGTGCTTAACCACTGAGCCACATCCCCAGCCCTTTATTTTATTTTATTTAGAGACCAGGTCTTTCTGAATTACTTAGCATCTTTCTAAATTGCTGAGGCTGGCTTTGAACTTGCAATCCTCCTGCCTCAGCCTCCTGAGCCCAGATTACAGGCTTATGTCACTGAGCCACACTGCAGGTTATAATTTATCCTAAGGAAGTGATAGACAGAAACAAGAAGTGAGGTAGACAGACAGACACTGGTTACAGCTAAGTGTCTGTCTTATTTGAACATTTGAATAGTTGGCTACTTGTGATTGGCTAAGACTCAACTACTTGTCACAGTGGTAGGTACACTCTGCACATCAAATTAAATTGTAGCTTACTATGTTAGGATGCCACTTTTGGCCAAGCAATTCAAATTAACAGTTCATAAAAAATAAATAATCCAGTGGTAGCTTCAAGTGGGGCTAGACTCCAGCTCAGTGTCTTTTCCAATTGGCTCTTTATGTATGTGTGTGTGTGTCAGGGGACAGGTACTGGGGATTGAACCCAGGGATGCTTTCCCACTGAGCTACAATGACAGAGCTGCTTTTTTTTTTTTTTTTTTTTAATTTTGAGACAGAGTCCCGATAAGTTGCGGAGGCTTCCCTCAAACTTGTGATCTTGCTGCCTTAGCCTCCCAGAGTCGCTGGGATTACTGGCATGTGCCAGCACGCCCTACTCCAGTGGCTCTCTTTACTCCTGAATTGCCTTCATAGGTAGATACACCTCCATAGGTCCTGGCTTGTCATAAGGCCATCACTGAACAAGTTGCTAAGCAGCCTGACTTACTCTGATTAATCAGGCTTGTCATCTCCTTGCTGTGTGAAAGGACATCAAGCTGGCCTGCCCAAATCCCATGGAGTACGTGGGAGAGGGTACCACCCCAAGTTAGGGTTCGTTACTAGAAATGAGCACTGTGCCAGGCAGGCAGACCAACAGAGCTGCCTTATAAGAAATGCTGAAGAAGTTTTTCAGGTTGGAGGCAAGTAAGACAGGAATGCAAATCCATGCCAGACAGCAGAGCACTGGCAGAGGAAATGATGTAACTAAGAGTACACACGCGTTTTTCTTCCCCTTTCTTCTGGTTTAAAAAGCAGTTGTATAAGCTGAATTCTCTGGACTTAATTTAAAAAATAAATAAATGAATTAAAAATCTTAATCTTGAACCTCTAAAACCATGAACCAAAATGAACCTCCCTTTGCTTCCTAAGTAGCCCCTGTCAGGTATTTCATTATAGTGACACAAAACTGACTGATACAGGAGCGTTGGCAGAGGGGGTCTGATTGGAGCTGTTGATCAGGAGCACTTGCTATGGTTTGGAAGTGGTTTCTCCTCTAAAGTTTCATTGGTCCCCAGTGTGGTGTAATTTGAGGCTAGTGGTGAGGGTGGCACATCATGGCAGCCTTATACAGAATCAACTGCTCACATCACAAGCTAGGAAGCAGAGACCGTCAGACCCGAGGTTCCACCATCCCCTTCGAGGGCACACCCCCAGTGATCTGAGGACCTCCCACTAGGCCCCACCTCTTAAGGTCCCTACCATCTCCCTACCAGGCTACCTGGGGACCAGTTCTTTTAACATATGGACCTCTGGAGGACACCCATCCAAACCAGAGAAACTTACATCGCAATTAACATGATTTTTTTGGGTGGTGGTGGGGCACAGTCAAACTCAGCTATTGTTTTATGCAGTTCACAAAATCTGACTATTCCAATCTGTGCCGCAGTCCAGCTGCAGCAAAATAACCGAGGGGGTGACGAACAACTTGTGTACGTTGATACAGCAGGAGTGGGAGCCGTTTATTGCAGGACAGGAGCAGTATTTATACATTCCACAGAGCTTATCTAATTAGCATAAACTAGATACATCAGTCAACCAATAAGGAATCTCTACACTTAATGGCTCGCTTTTGTTACTTCTCAAACCACTCCCTCTGGCATTTTGCCAGGCACCATCCAGACTTGTTTACGAACTCTAACATTCCCCTGGCTAAATGCCAGGTGTTATTTTGACTTGTTTACAGACTCTAACAAATCTGTGTTATGTTTAGCAACAAAATGTTTAAAACAAAAGTATGGCTAATTGTCCCATTATCTGTTGCTATGGATACTGCTGCATGAACTCAGTGGCATGAAACACTACTCCAGAGGCTACAGGTTGACTGGGCTTCCAGCTCTGGGCTGGGCTGATGTGGGAGGGCCCCAGGAATTTGAGCCTGGGGGGGGGGCTCTCATCCTCTGGCAGGCTGGCTCTGGTTTGTTCTCCTGGCCAAGACAGGGGTCTAAGAGAGAAAGTGGACTCTGCTGAACATCTTCACTTCACCTGTGTCCCGTCAATCAAAGCCAGTCACAAGGCCAGGGGTGGGGAAATGGATTCCACTTCTTGAGGGGAGAAGGACATGGATGGAGAAGGGGGTATTTTTGCCCTCAGTCTCTAACACTGAACACCTTCCCCTTGGGAGGGAAAGCCATCTAGATTGTTGGTACAGATGCCCTTTACTGAAAACAACAAAACAAAAAAACCCTAAACTCCAAAAACCAAGCTAGCAGTCGGGGATCCCTCTAAGACAGGTAAGAACCCAGTCCTTGGCAAACCGTAGGAGCTGGCCTGGCAATGCTAGTGTCACCGCCAATGTTCTGGTGGGAATAAAAGGAAAGTGCTAATACTTTGACTTGTCCCTGTTTCTCATGTCCTGAAATTTCCTTCCAAAAGAGATGGAACAGATCTAAGTCAAAACTAGCCGAAAGGGCTAGTCGTGCCAGACTGAACCCAATAATTGTTCAGAACCCGGTGCATCAGGACTTAAAGGCGTCTGCAACCAGGGCAGCTCCTGGCATACATACATATATATGACTAGTAGAAAGGGGGTGATCTGGGCTGGGGATGTAGCTCAAGCGGTAGCGCGCTTGCCTGGCATGCGTGTGGCCCGGGTTCGATCCTCAGCACCACATACAAAGAAAGATGTTGTGTCCGCCAAAAACTAAAAAATAAATATTAAAAAATTATCTCTCTCTCTCTCTCTCTCTTAAAAAAAAAAAGAAAGGGGGTGATCTTCCCTAATTTGGGGAATGTCCTAAGACAATTATTGACACTCCTAATGGTGTTTGTACGCTTAAAAAAGCCTACATGTGTACAGATATGAGTGCATGGGCTCAGATCTTGGTTCTGCCACTTGCTAGGATGAGCCACTTCTTTGTGCCTTTATTTCTTTATCTGTAAAGTGGGAAAATAGAATCTGCTTCATAAAGTTGGGTGGATTAATGAACAAGTGCAAGGTTTTATAACAGAGCCTGGACTTTAACAAATGCTCAATTAATGTTAACTCTCTCTTATGCTATGAGGAAAAATAGCTTCACGGAGGGGAAACTGAAGGCCAATGAAGGGTAGAGACTCACCTGGCGTCAAACAAAATTAAGTGTCTTTCCTGGTTTTTTGAGACCCAAATTTTAGCATCTGGAGGTTGGGCAGGTCATGCCTCTCTCCTCTCCTCAGAACCCTTCCATGAATCTGAAGCAAGTCCCAACCTAACCATATTGTACTAGTGTCAATATCTTGGTTCCAACCATGTATCGTGGGTCCACAAAGTATTACTATTGTAGAAAATGGGAATTACACAGGAATTTTGTGTCCTACTAATCCAATTTCTTGTGTTAAACTATTTCTAAATAAAAATGTTATATATATTTGAATTGCAGAATTACATATTATAAAAGATTGTGCACTTGCAGACATGTGCAAACTTTATGAAGAGCGTGCGGGGGTGTGGCTGCCAAGTTCAGGGCCCCAAATCACCCTCAGGATTGATAATCCGATGGAAGGATTGACCCTCTGGGTCAGTCGTGGTGCATCACAGAGGAAGCATAGGGATTAAAGTCATTCAAAGAAAAGGGGCAGAGTCCAGGGGAGTCCCTACTATGAGCGTCTGGGTGTCCTGGCTGAGGAGTCACAGTTGGCATGACTTCCCCAGGAGACAGTGAGATGAGCATGTGCGTTGCTAGCCAGTGGGGTGCGCCTGGAGCTTTAGGGTCTACAGTTTTTATAGGGGCTTAGTCAAGTAGGTGTGGTCGACAGTCCAAGTGGCTGACCTTAGGAGTTGCCAGCACTTCCCAAGGTTGAGGTGACAGTGTGGCCCAAGACCCCACCATTAGTCACACTGTTAGCACAGACTGGTTTGGTCCAAGGCTCCAGCTTAACTACACAATGTTCTTAGGAAGGACATTCCAAGGGCTTAGAGATCATTCCCAGGAGCCAAGGGCAAGGCCAGACCTCTCTTTGGACAAGGTTAATCACTTACTGCACCATGTATTAGCTAAAAAGCCTCCCAGGCCTCCATGTCCTCAGTGGCCACTGCTCTCTGCTCCCCGTGGTGCCCAGGCTTCAGCCCTGTGAGCCACTGTCCGCTCCTAGAACAAGCCAGGATTCCCCTCTGCCTCCAGCTTTACCTCCTTAACTCCTATTCCTTGTGTCTTTCATTAGTTCCACATTTATTGAGCACCTCCTGCATACTGGGCCTTGATCTAGGAGTTGGGGACTGAACAAGATAGACAAATCCTCACCCTGAACAGTGCACAGGGAGAGTCCTTCTCAGAGTGGGGAGGCCACAGGACCCTGGAGCCACCAGCTTGGGTTTAAATCCTGCCTCTGCTACTCATCAGCCTGGGCGATGCATAGATTTAGTCCTATGTAATGATAATTCTGCGTGGTGGTTTTCACCAGTTTTCTTCAGCGCTCCCAGTTGTTGCTTTTTCCTCGGAAGCCCTCTCTGATGGCTGCAGACTGGTTGCACCTGGGCTGCCACTCTGATGGACAGGGACCAGGGCTTTCCTGATCCCTCCTCTGTCCCTAGAATCACCCAGCACAGAACAGGCACTCTCAGTAAACCTATGCCGAACACAGGAATGTCAACAGCAGCTGCGGAATGTACTGGTTTCTTACCCTGACGGTGGCCACCCAAGGGGTGGGAGAGCTGGAGGTCGCCCCATACCCCAGGCCTAGGTCTGTAGAACCTCCGCCCGAGTGGAACACGGTGTAACAGTGCCTCCTTGTGGGCACCTCTCATTTTAGAACCCTGGTGCGGAGATGCTCTCTTCGCCCAAGGAAGCGGGGTGGGGCGGGACTCAGGACCCGGGTTACCCGGGTCCCACACCGTCCCCATGAACAACCGGGCGGGGGCCCCAGCCCCCTCCCCAACCCGGCCCTCCACCCTGGTCGGGGCTTCGACTCTCGCCCCAACCCCAACCCGAACCCCGAACCCAGTCCGGATGTCGACTCCTGTCCAGATCCCGACTCCGGTTGGAACCCAGGCCCCGATCCGGGCCGCGATCCCAGTCCGAACCTCCATCCAGTCCCGGGCACCGAACCCAGTTCGGACCCAGGCTCCGGTCCGGTTCTAGCTCCGACCTCAGCTTCAGCTCCAGCCCCAGCCCGGGTCCCGACCCCAGCTGCAGCCCCAGCCCCGGTCCCGACCCGGACTCAGGCCCCGACCCCAGCCCCAGCCAGGATCCCGACCCGGGCTCCGGTCCCGAACTCAGCCAGGGTCCCGACCCGGACTCCGGTCCCGAACCCAGCCCCAACCCCAACTCCACCCCCAGCACCAGCCTGGGTCTGGACCCCGACTCCGGTCCGGTTCCCAGCCCCAGCCCCAACCCCAGCTCCAGCCACAGCACCGTCCTGGGTCCGGGCCCCGATCCCCGCCGCGGTTCCGGCTAAGGAATCGCCCGCGACCCCAGCCCTACATTTGGATCCGCCCGCAGAACCTGCTCTAGAGTCTCCTGCCGAGACTCCTTCGCCCACGCCGGGCCCAAAGCACTTCCCATCCTTCAGCAGCCTCGCAGGGTCCGTCCGGGGACCCTTTCCCGCGCCCACTCCTTTGGCCTTTAACGTACAGAGATCCACTGCGAAGGAAGACCTAGCAGCCACCCAGTCAACGGATCCCCCCACTTCTGGACCCATCCCGGGGACCAGCCGGCTGTCCATCTCCATTTCTACTAACGCAGTCGCCTCCACCAATGAGAACTTCCAAATGGAGAACAAGATCTTGATTCGAGTGACCTACTGGTGAGGGACGCGCCTGCCCACACCTGCCTTCCTCCCCACGCAGGGCTGGGTCGGGGAGGCTCTGGGGCTGTGGGGGTGGAGCTCCCGGGCTGGGCGAGGAGGAGGAGTCAGGTGGAGCCTCAAAGTATACAGAGCCCCCCCCCCTCACCCCGCAGTGGGCTTAGCCCCGCCCATCCTCCTGTTTGGGGCGGGTTCAAACTCCTGCTCGGGCTCTGAGCTTCATCCGTTCACATTCATTCATTCATTCATTCATTCGTGTGATTTCTGCCTCGTGGCTTCTTCTTGCCTCTCTTTCCTTTATCACTCACTTCCCAGCGCTCTGCCTGCCGCGTGCCAGGTCCGTGCTGGGAATACGGTGCTGAGCATCGGGACTCGTTCTGCTCCTTTAGCGCGAGGTCTGGTGGTGCAGCCCAAAGCCAGGGTGCATGGAAATGAGCTCCCTGAGGGAGGACAAGGGGTTAGCGCACTTTAGGACTGCGCGTTCAGGAACACCCCTTTTCAAGAGGTGACTCTTGAGTTGACACTCCACACTTAGGAGGAGGCGACGGCAAGTGTAGCGTGGAGGAGAGGTAGTCAAAGTCGCCGGAGCAGCCGGTGCGAAGTCTGGAGGGGGCTGGAGGAGGCTGGAGGCTGTGCGGAGGCCTAAGCCTCTCTTTGAATCAACAGTTAGAACAAAAATAACAGTAATGACTTTCCTTGACCTCCTCTGGGGCCCAGGGCTGAATGCAGCTCAGACAGTCTTCCGTTCTGATCCCCGGTGCGGCTTCTGCCCCGAGGCCTCTTTGCACCCTGTCTTTCCCTGTCTCTCTACTCTTCTTGTCTCTGCCCCGTGTCTCTCCAGCTCTCCTTCTCTCTCCCAACTCGCTGTGGCTCTTTTTCCTGTGACGTGTGCCTTTCCTCTTCCCCAGCTCCACTGGTTCCTTCGTCTCCTGTGCTCTTCTCGCCCCATCTTCTCCTCTCTACAGGTTTCTCTGACTCCATGGGTTCATTAATTCACTCATCCAACAACCAATTTCTTAGGTACTTACCATGCCTCAGACGTGGTTTGTACCGTCAGGGATACAGGAGCGAACAAGACCAGGGTCCCTGTCTTGGTGCTGCTGGCATGCGGGGGTGGAGAGGAGACAATAAACCATAAATAGGTCCCACAAGGGGACCAGTGCTATGGATAAAAGGCATCTTTGGTGTTGCAGTGTTGTTGTGGTGGTGGTGGTTACAAGGAATTGAACCCAGGGGCACTTCACCACTGAGCCACATCCCCAGTCCTTTTTTGTATTTTATTTAGGAACAGGGTCTCCCTGAGTTGCTTAGGGCCTGGCTAAGTTACTGAGGCTGGCTTTGAACTTGCAATCCTCCTGCCTCAGCCTCCCAAGCTGCTGGGATTACAGGTGTGCATCACCATGTCTGGTTTGGGGGTTGCTGTTTTAGCTGGCCTGGTCAGGAAGGCCTCACTGAGAAGCTGATATGAGTAAAGACCTGAAGGAGGGGAAGAGAAGGAGCCAGCTGGGCACTAGAGGAGCATTCTGCAGAGAGAACCACAGTGGGTGCCCCGGTGTCAGAAGACCAGCTAGGGGGCCTCTGGGCAGAACGGGGTGAATAATGTAGGACAGAGGGGGAGGAGATGGGGCAGAGGGATGACAGGACAGGTCATAATGCAACTTCTGGGCCAAGGGGCAGACTGTGGTCCCTTCCCCTGAGTGAGATGGTTCAGGGGAGGGTTCTGAGCAAGGGGAGGAGGTGATCTGACTCAGGCATTCCTGGGGAACCTTGGGAAGTACTGATGTGTGTTTCCCCCTCCCCCACTCTCTCTCTGCCTCCCTCCCACTCACTGCCTTCGGCTTCTAGTGGCCTCTGAAGCTATAGCTTTCGGGTGAGTAGTTTGGCCTTGGAGGTGGGGAGAGAGTGGGACATGAAAACCGGGAGGAGTTGGTTTCCCTTCCTGTGACCCCATAACCCTGTGACCCTACGATCTCATCTCCTTTCCTCAGTATATACTACTGAAGAAGAGTCTGGAGCAGCAATTTCCAAATCTCCTGCACTTTGTAAGTGTGTTGATGGGCTGGGGAGTGGGGTCGTCAGCGCTTCCCACCCTCCAGGGCTTGGAGGGGAGCGCTCAGCCTTTCCCCATCCCAACATTCCTTCCCAGGACGAGGAGGTAGCCCAGGCTACAGGGGAGTTTGAAGTGTTTGTGGAAGGGAAACTGGTCCATTCCAAGAAGGTGATTCTGAACAAGAGGCCTGCACAGGGAAGGAGGGTGGGGCTGGGAGCCTGGGGGAGGGAGACATATCTGAGTCTTTCCCCTCTGTGCCCAGAATGGTGATGGCTTTGTGGATGATACCAGACTTCAGAAAATTGTGAACGCTATCGATGAGAAGATCAGGAAAAGGTAGCAGGCAATGGTGGAGCTGGAGGTGAGTGAGATCCTGCAGAGGAGTTGGAGGGCTGGGTTTGGGGTGTCAGGTGAGCAGGACAGGGCCCCATCTAGGGTTCTAGCTCAGCTGGTCCTCACTGCTGTAGTCACCACGAGTTACCTAAACTCTCCTCTGAGCCTCAGTTTTCTCATCTGTTGAGGTGATTTCAAGAGATGACTCCCATCAGGTAGCAAATAGTACTTGTTCCAAGTAGGGCTCAGTGGATGTCAAATATACTTCCCCCTAAACAAAGAGCCTGCTTTGTTGTTGTTGTTGTTGTTGTTAGCTTTTAGTTGTAAAGCTGTGCTATCCAATAACAGCATCACTTGTAAATTTAAATTAGTTAGAATTAACTACATTACAAATTCAGTTCCTGAGTTGTACTAGCTACATTTCAAGTGCTCAGCAGGCACATGTGTGGCTAGTTTATTGGGTTGGATTACAGGTACAGGACAAATAACTCATCCTGGCAGAAAGTTCTAATGGAAACACTGTTCTAAGATATTAGTATAATGCACCATAACTTATTGGCCACCAATATTTGACTTTTTTTTTTTTTTTGGCACTGGGGATTGAAAGGAAAGTGACCACAACACTCAGAGCAACCAAAAGATCTTTATTGCAGCAGTGCAACAAAGAGAAAGGAAAGAAGGAAAGAGAGAGAGAGAAAAGAGAAGAGATGAACAGGGAGAGAGCAAGAGCAAGAGAGAGACAGAGCGCGTGTAAGAAAGATAAAGAGCAAGAGAGAGAGAGAGCAAGAGAGAGGGGGCCTGGCAGGAGGGAGTTTTTATAGCCCAAATCTAATGGGGCCTCTGGGTCTGCAAGCTGCCTTGTTGGCCCAAGGGGGGGTTAAGTGTTCAGCCTTAAGCAGGGTTGAATGTTCAGACTTGAGGCAAACAGGTGATAAAGGACCAGATAGAGGGGGGTTTGAGTGCGTGGGCTATCTTGCAGCCAACATCTGTTCAGCCTGCCCTGCAGACAACACAGTTCAGCCTGCTCTGCACCCAACAGGGATTGAACCCAGGAGCACTTTACCACTGAGATAAATCCCCAGCCCTTTTTATTTTTATTTTTTTTGAAACAGGGTCTTGGTAAGTTACTGACAGCTTTGTTAAATTGCTGAGTCAGGCCTTGAACTTGTGAGTCTCCTGAGTTTCTGGGATTGTAAGCTTGCACCACCGTGCCCTGCTTCAATACTGGATTTTAATTTTATCTATTTATTTTTATGATACTGAGGATTGAGCCTAGGGCCTCACACAAGCTAGGCAAGCACTCTACCACTGAGCTACATCCCCAGCCCCCAATACTGGATTTAAAAAAAATGTTGTGTTTTTAAATTTAATTACTTTTTGTTGTTATTGCTGTGCTGGGGATGGAACGCAGGGCCCTGTGCACACTAGGCAAGTGCTGTGCCATGGGACTACATCTCCACCCCCACAAGACTGGAAAATAAATAAATATATATCATATATATATGTGTGTGTGTGTGTGTGTGTGTTTTAGTTGCAGATGGACCTTTATTTTATTTATTTTTTATATGCAGTGCTGAGAATCAAACCAGGGCCTCACACATGCTAGGCAAGCACTCCACCACTGAGCTACAACTCCAACCCACAAAACTGGATTTTTAAAGGCACTTATTAGGGCTGGGGCTGGGGCTCTGTGGTAGAGTGCTTGCTGTGCTAGGCCCTGGGTTTGATTTTCAGCACCACATTAAAAAAAAAAAAGTCTATTGACAACTAAAAAATTAAAAATAAAAAATAAAGGCATTTATTATATACATACCTTTGCAAGCTGCTACTGATTTAGTAGTTTGTTGTGCATGCACACACGTATTGTTTATTTTCAACTTTACTGAGGTGTAAGCAATGAAGAAAACTAGTGTTTCAAGTGTACAAGCGTGAAGCCACCAACTAAATCAAAATAATAAACATATTTCAACTCCCACAAAAGTTTCCTCAGGAACTTCTGTCATTTTCCCTACCTCTACCCCCATCCCAGGCCCCTAATTTGGCTTTCTGTCCCCATGGATTGGTTTGAATTTCTCTAGAGTTTTCTATAAATGGAGGCTGTAATTTAAAAAAAAAAAAAAATATATATATATATATATATATATTGGGGGCTGGGGATACAGCTCAGTTGGTAGAGTGCTTGAATCACATGCACAAGCACAAAGCCCTGGGTTCAATCCCCAGCACGACAGAAAAAAAAAAATTGGGTGGAAGTTTGACACCAAGAGAATCGTATAGTGAACTTACTGTACCCATCTCCCAGGTAACTGTTACTTTCTCTTGTCCATTTTATCTGTCTTCCCCTCCTTTTTTTTTCCACTATAGTATTTTAAAGTATATTCCAGACCTCATGTTATTTCTGCTCTAAATTCTTCCACCTGCATCTTTAATAGATAATGTTTAAAGATGGAAATACAAGGCCATGATCACACCCAGAGAAAAGAAATGTCTTAATGCCATCTAATATCTACTCAAGTGTCTCAAAAAGATCTTTTCACAGTGGTTTATGGACTCAGGATATAGATAAGATCTACATGGTCTAATGGCTTTTAATATTATATTTAGTTGTAGGTGGACACACAATATCTTTATTTCATTTTTGTGTGGTGCTGAGGATTGAACTCAGTGCCTCATGTGTGCTAGGCAAGTGCTCTACCACTGAGCCACAATTCCAACCCCTAATTGCTATTTTTTTAAGAGAGAGAGAGAGAGAGAATTTTTTATTTTATTTATTTTTTAATTTTTTAATATTTATTATTTTTTAGTTATTGGCGGACACAACATCTTTGTTTGTATGTGGTGCTGAGGATCGAACCTGGTCCGCACACATGCCAGGCGAGCGCACTACCGCTTGAGCCACATCCCTAGCCCCCGAGAGAGAATTTTTTAATATTTATTTTTTAGTTTTCAGTGGACACAACATCTTTTATTTTATTTGTATGTGGTGCTGAGGATTGAACATAGTTCCCCGCACATGCCAGACGAGTGCGCTACCACTTGAGCCACATCCCCAACCACCCTAATTGCTATTTTTTTAAAAAAACATTTTTAGTTGTAGATGGACACCTCTATTTATTTTTATGTGGTGCTGAGGATTGAACCCAGAGTCTCGCACTTGCCAGGCAAGCACTTTACCACTGAGCTACAGCCCCAGACCCATAATGGCTATTTTTAAACAATTATAAACAGGCTTTAAAAAGTTTACTATGTGCAGGGCTCTTGGTAGGTTCTTTTTTTGTGTGGGAGTGGGGAGGTACTGAGGATTGAACCCAGGGGCACTCAACCACTGAGCCACATCCCCAGCCCTTTTATGTAGTTTATTTACGGCAGGGTCTCACTGAGTTGCTTAGCACCTCTCTTTTGCTGAGGCTTTGAATTTGCAATCCTCCTGCCTCAGCCTCCTGAGCCTCTGGGGTTACAGGCATGTGTCACCTAGCTGGCTTGGTAGGTTCTTGTTCTTTTTTTTTTTTTTTTTTCTGCCATGTGGGGCCCGGGGAGGCAGGTGAGAGGTCTGTTTCTCACACCTACCAATATGATGCAGAATGTAGTGGTGATTATACATGCAGTTTCCAAGGTCACAGAGATTAGGCTCAAATCCTGGGTCCACCAGCCACACCAGGCTGAAATTGGGTGAAAGATTTACCAAAGACCTCCTTCCATAAGTGACAGCTTCTGTTGTTGTTAGATCAGAACTGTTCTGATTGCAAGAGAAAACCCATCTCAAGCTGGCTGTAGGGGAAGCAAAAACATTGGCAATAGGAATAAAGGGTTAGGAGATATATATATATATATATATATATATATATATATATATATATATATATTTTTTTTTTTTTTTTTTTAATATTTGTTTTTTTAGTTGTAGTCAGACACAATACCCTTGTTTTATTTATTTATTTTTATGTGGTGCTGAGGATTGAACCCAGGGCCCCGCGTGTGCTAGGCAAGCACTCTACCACTGAGCCACAATCCCAGCCCTAGGGTATAATTTTGTTGGCTTCAGGCACAGAGTGGGATCTAGGTACCCAAAGATTACCCCTGGGAACCTGACTCCTCCTGACTCTGGCTTCTGCATTTTTTTTTTAAACCAGGCTGGCTTTATTTTCAGGCAGGTTTCATTTCCTAGTGGCTTAAATCCTACAAAGCTTCCCATTGGGCTGGTTTAGGTCACATGTCCATCCCTGAGTCAATGGGAGGGGGCTCAGGGGTGCTCTCTTGAGTCAAGTACTCATTTTTGGAACTGGAGTGGAGCTGGTGCTGGGGTTTGAACCCAGGGCCTAGTGCATGCGAGGCAAGGACTCTACCAACTGAGCTATATCCCCTGCCCTCCCCTCTATTTCAGCTTCCTTCTCTATAATTATAAACAGAAATTCCAATAGTCTTTCCCTGATTGAATTTATTTCTGCTCACCCAGTATTTGCTGTGTACCTAGGATGTGCTGGACACTGTCCTAGGCTCTGGAGATAAAGCAGTGAACAAAACGGATACCAATCCCCATGCTAGTGGGGAAGACAGCTACTGGAAAGGATGCAGAGAATAGTAGGCATTTTATTTTTAATTTTTCCCATTTTTTATGGTCATAGTTGTACTCAGTGGTGGGATCCATTGTTATATATTCACACCTGCACAGAATAAGGATATAATCTGGCCAGTATCATTCCCTAGTAAGTTCCAGTTTCCATACCCCTTCTCTTCTTCTTAGAAGACTCATTAAGAAGGTATCTGGACCATGTGGGCATCTCAGGAAATGTATTCTAGGCAGTGGGAACAGCAAGTACAAAGGCCCTGTGGTAGGAGTGTGCTTGATGAATTTGAAAAATAGCAGGACTAGAGTGGACACTGGAATACATGGAAAGCACTTTCCACAGGAAGCCCTATATAAACACCATTATTTTAATGGAGTTATATGTTCCTGTTTTCAGTTTTTTCCTCTCTTCTTCTCTCAGGAGCCTCAGCAGGATGATGAGAAGGGCTGAAATGTTGTCAAGTCGGGTCCTGCTCTGATGGTGGCTGGGGTGGGGTGAGGTTGGGGAAGGGAGAGGGAAATACATACAAAGTGTGCCTCCCTGTGCTCTGGTCTGTGTCTGTTGTCCCTGAACCCACGTCTGAGGTCCGTGGAAGGAGCCCACTGCGTGTTCCTAGCATCTCCCAAGTCCTGAGCCCTGGTGTGGGGTTGGGAGAGAGGATGGCTTGGAATAAAGGCCAGCCGGTGCTCCCGGCAGTCTAGACTCAGCTTCTCATGCTGCTGAGGCCATATTCTTCTGTGACTTAATTTCCCAGGGCCTTGTTCAAGATATACTTGGAAAACCTTCCATCTTATTGGCATTTTTAGGGTTTGAGATGAGACAGGGATTGTGGAGAGTCTCAAACCTGATGCATTCCAAACTGCACTCCAGGACCCACTTTCTAACCCACAAATCTTAGAACTGGGCAGGATTTTGGGAGCTGGGTAGGGCATTTGTGCATTCACTGGACATTTATGGGCCCCCTCCTCTGCACCTGGCCTTGTGGGCTCACCAGGAAGTCAAGTGCACAGATGTGGGAGTTAGATTTTTCCAACTTGACCACCTAGCACCCTGCTGTGTGCCCTCCACCAGGGACATTACCCAGTGCCCCACACATGCTAGGCGAGCGCTCTACCACTGAGCCCCAGCCCCAGCCCTGGTTTTGATTTTGTGAAGGCTCTTGTTGAGGTCGGCTAAACCCTTCAGTGTGATTTTTCTTTTCTCTTAGAGTTCCCTTTTCTTTTGGCTCCTTCTCAGCTATGCATTCACTAAGTGATAGGATTTCTCAGCTCTTTATAAGCTTTCAAGGCCACCGTGGAAGTTGTAGCCTGTCTCCAAGCTATGTGACACATGGCTGTAGACTATAGAAAGCTCACGTGTGAGTGTGTGTGGGGGGGCTGGGGCTCAGTGGCAGAGCACTTGCCTAGCATGTGTGAGGCACTGGGTTCGATTCTCAGCACTGAATATAAATAAATAAAGGTAAATTGACAACTAAAAGATTAAAAAAAAAAAAAGAAAGCAAGCTCCCAGGTGCCCATCACTCCCTAGCTATTGTTTTGAATCAAATATCAGACAATGTGCAGCATTTTGAGGATGGTAAAATCCTTTCCACTTTTGTGTATGCTGGAGATTTTCCTTAATAAGTTTTTAAAAAGGGGTTAGGGATATAGCTCAGTTGGTATAGTGCTTGCCTTGAAAAAAAAAAAGTTAAAAAAAAAAAAAACAGCTAAATGCCACAGCCCTTTTGGGTACCCATGCTGCCTGGGCTGGGGTTTCTTCCTCACAAGCTGACCCAGATAAAGCTGCTACAAAGGGAAAGGCCACGGCAGTGGGGAGGTGGGATGTAGGGCACCCAGAGGCCAGAGCTCTATCCCAGGTTGAGGGAGGATGGAGGAGGCGACGGCCACCACCAGACCCTGGCCTCACTTCTGTGGGACCTGGAGGAAGGATGGAGTTTTACATCTTCCTGGTCACAGTCCTGGGCTGACCACTTGTACCCCATCAGGAGGGGCTGGTTTGAGGGGAAGAGAGTGAGTTGAGTCTCAGCTTCAATTTTTATTTTGCCTGGTAAGGCAGAGGTCAGATGGCTCTTAGCTGTCTAAAGTGTTCAGGGCCATGAAAATGGAGTCCTTGAAAAATTTTTTTCCTTTTGTACCAGGAATTGAACCCAGGGGTGCTTTACCACTGAGACTTTATTTTTTAATTTTTATATGGTATTGAGGATTGGACCCAGGGCCTTGTGCAGTGTGGCAAGCACTCTGCCAACTGAGCTATATCTCCAGCCTGAGACTTTATTTTTTTTTGAGAAAGGATCTTGCAAAGTTGCTACTTCAGCCTTCTGAGTTACTGGGATTACAGGTATGTGCCACTATGCCCAGCTCTTTTTTTCTTTCCCACACCCTTAGCATTTATTTCCTAGTAATACTTTTCTAATTGGCTATTTTGTTACCCTAAGTAAGTGCTACGGTTTTTTTTTTAAATGATAGAAACTATATAAAACTATTTACAGGAATCTAGAAGCATGCTGAAATAGAGTTGGTGCTCAATATATAAACACTTGTTCAATCAGTTTCATTGAATGTAAAGGAACGAGTCAGGTGACTCATGCTGTGTAGATTAGATCTTCTATCCAGACACATCAGACTCTTTTCAGGGTAGACTTTGGTGGACCTCAAAGTTAATCTTCAAGGAAGATGCTCAAGACTAGAATCCTCATCCCATGGTCACTGTACACCTTGCTCCCCGGTCCATCCTTTGGTCTCGGGGTGAACTGTGCGATTCCTTAAGGGGGTCATAGAAATTGTGACCAGGTGTCCCAGGAAATGCCTGGGGAGCAGCCTAAAGCCACCTATTCTTTTGAATGGACAACTGTCATCTGAAAAAAGAGACAAATTGGTACAATACTCACAGATAGCAGTCAAGATGGAAAAGGAAGAACAGAGAATTCTGGAGCTGTCAAATCCAGTTCTGGAATACACCTTCAGTGACTCCAGTTTCCTTGCTTAGGGTCCCTGGAGATGGGTTTGTCATTTGCAGCAACAAAGTTCCAGTTGATAGGAAATCACCTAAAAAGATGATTGCCTCACACACAACATACCATGACATAGGACCTGTGGTAAAGGAGCAGGTTGTGCTTGGTGGACACGTGGCCAGTGTCAGGAAGACTGGCAACGGTGGTAGTGAGGCAGACAGGCCTAAGCCTGCCATTTCAGGACCCATGTTTAACCCTTTTATTGGGGAGAAGCCATTCAAATGAAGCAAGGGGTCAGGTTTCAGGGGGTGGAGTCTAGCTTTGTGATGTCTGATGTCAGCTGATTGACATCTAGGGAGGCCATGCCCATCTCATGAGCTGTGTGGGGGTCATGGCAGAGCAAGTAAAAAGACCAGAGTGAGGCCTCCCAAACAGAGGGGCAACGTGGGTTCAGTCCACTTTGTGCGCTCAATGCCCATAGTTCACACACACACACACACAGCCCAGGGCTGGCTTGCCACAGCTCCATATTCTTATCACTCAAAGCCAAGGGGCGCTCGTTTCCTATGTGGCAGTTCCTCACATGCCCCCAAGGACCTAACTTCCTCCCACTATGCCCCACCTTTCAAAGACTCCGCCACCTCCTAATAGCAACAGGGGCTGCAGATCAAGCCTTTAATATTAAGAGCCTTTCGGGGACCCTTACCTAAACCATGGCAGTATTTGGCTCATTACGGAAGAAATGCCTCTCTAACCATACGGTTTTAACAAATGGTAGGCAGCAGCAGCCAGGATGCACACAGAGACACACCAAGAATGCAAAGATTCGGAGATATAATTACCCAGAAACAAGATGTACCAATATACCTTCCCAGACCTAGTGAAAGATACAGACTTGGGGCAGAAAAGCTAAGTTGGACACATGGAAATGTACCAAAAACAGACTCATAACAGGAGGCATCTCTGTTCTCAAAGACCTGTGGAGAACTGCAAACTAAACCTAAAAAAATAACAGCACATAGATGTGCATACTTCTGAGGCCCCAGTGTCTACACCCCATAAATTTCCAGAAAAAAAGGGGCATACAAACATTCATACACACACATTTGCACACTCATGCCCAGAAATGGGATGTGGAAGATGTCACTCATATGATGTTGGGACACAACATGTCATGAGATTATCTTGTCTCATTTTGAGCCTGGTCTATATGCATCCAAAAAGAGGACTTCTTTTTCTTAATTTTTTTCCTTCCTCCCTTTTTATTGTATTGGGGATTGAAACCAGGGGCATTTTACCACTGAGCCACATCCCCAGCCCATTTTTTTTTATGTTTTGAGAGAGGGTCTTGCTAAGTCCTTACAGGTGATACTACTACCTCAGCCTTCTGAGTTACTGGGATTACCTGGCTAAAACAAGGTCTTTTTAAAAACATGAAGGGACAGCTGGGTGTGGTGGCACATGCCTGTAATCCCAGCAGCTCGGGAGGCTGAGGTAGGAAGATCATGAGTTCGAAGCCATCCTCAGCAAAAGCAAGGCACTAAGCAGCTCAGTGAGACCCTGTCTCTTAAATAAAATACAAGAAAGGGCTGGGGATGTGGCTTGGTGGTCGAGTGTCCCTGAGTTCAATCCCCAGTACCAAAAAAAAAAAAAAAACAAACCCATAAAGGGACAGAAAATAGCTCAGGAAGACCATGGACAGCATTAGTCCCAATCTTATTAATCATGTTTCTATAGAATGTGTGACTTGCCCCCCAAACTTTAGTGCTTTTCTATTTACTTATTTATGCTGGTGACTGAGCCCAGGGCCTTGAATGTGCTAGGCAAATGCTTTACTACTGAGCCATGAGCCACCAGCCCAAAAATTCAGTAATTTAAAAATGTATCTGGTACTTAAAAGCTTATAATTTGATTTTTCCTTCTTTATAACCACATGTATCCTTTTGTTTTTAAAGATTTTTTAATAAAATACAAAATACGTAAGAAGTACATACATTCTACCACCCAGTACTTCCCATGTATGTAATAGCCAGTGATACTACCTTGAAGTCTCGATTCACAAACGCCCTTAACCCTGAGGCACCCCTACCACAAATTCTAGTTGCTTTGTATAACTGTCCACACCCATGAACACAATGTTTTCATCTTAATTAGTGATAGCATACCAAACATCACTCTACAATATCCTTTCCATTCACTGAAATCTTCAGATCTAACCACATTGATACACATAAATCTAGACCAACCACGTGATTAGAGCGTTGGGCTTTGAGCCACATGGTATCATCCTCACCTTCTGTGAGTGTTGGGGAGCTGGAGATTGAATTCAACCACTTGAACAATGACTGACTCAATAACACCTTCAAAGCGAAGCCCCAATAAAAACTGTGGACACTGAGGCTCAGGTAGCTTCTCTGGACAAGACGGCCAGAAGATTGCTATGTCCTGACTACACCACGAAAGGACAGGGAACTTCTGTGTTCGGGAGCCCTCCCAGACCTTCCCCCATGTGTCTCCTCTTCTGCTTGGTCCTGATTTGC